TCTTGTATTGGTAGATTATTATTTTTCATCAAAGTTTGAAAGTTTTCTGCCTCATCTTTCAAAATTTTTTTTTCAGCTTTTTTCTCTCTCATGACTGGTACATGTAAGTTGGTATGCTTGAGAATATCCTTATAGCCCTTTGATTCTCTTTACTGTTAATTAGGACTTTTTTTCCTGTGATTTTCATTTTGGGGAGTTTCTATTGATCTTTAGGTTGATTTATTCATCTTTCTCAAATCTGTTGAATTTTGTTTCTGTGCTTTTCAAGTTATGATTTCCATCTGGTTCTGTTTTTAAAATGGAGATTCACATAACATAAAATTCACCATTTTAAATAAGTATAAAGTTTAGTAGTGTTTAGTATATTCAGAGGGTTATGCCACCATTTTCATTGTCTAATTCCAGAACATTTTATCACCCCATAAAGAAATCTTGCCTATTAACACTTACTCCTCCTTCCCCACTTGCCCTAACTCCTAGCATCCACTAATATATTTTCTGTCTTGATGGATTTGCTTATTCTGGACATTACACGAATGGAATCCTACACTATGTGGCCTTTTGCATCCGGGTTCTTTCACCTAGCTTATGTCTTTAAGGTTCATCCATGTTGTAGCATGTGTCAATGCTTCATTCCTTTTTACGGCTAAGTAATATTCCATTAGGTAGATATGAATGTGCCACATTTTGTTTATCTATGAATGTGCTGATAGACATTTGAATCATCTCCACTTTTGGCTCTTATGAATAGTGCTTCATTTGGTTCTTTTTTATAATTTCTATTTATTTATATTTGCTATTTCATGAATCATAGACCTCATACTTTAAAAAATTATTTAATCATGACTTCCTTTAATTATTTAACATATTTATAAATAGCTGCTTTGAAGACTAGGGCCTGTAAGTTCAGTATCTTTGCCCCTTCAGAGTTAGTGCCTGTTGATTGCTTCCCCTCCCCATCCCCTGTGTATGGAGCACACACTTTCTTATTTCTTTGTATGAATCATGTTTTTTTTTTTTGCTGAAAACTGGAAGTTTTGGATAATATAGCAGATTGGAGTTCCGATTTTTGTCCTGAGGGTTATTAGCATTGTTTTGTTAGTGTGGTTAGTAAAGTATCTGTGCTAAGTCTGTGGAGTCTGTTTAATGGGCAGTGATTGCTGGTATCTTTGCTCAGTTTTTGCTTTTTATTGTATTTTTAAACCTGCTAACTAGGGATTAGTCCTGTATCAGCCTAGCTTAGTGGTCAGCCAGTGATTGGTCTTTGCTTGTATTTAACCACTTCGTTTGGGGCGCCTGAGTGGCTCAGTCGTTAAGTGTCTGAGTTTGGCTCAGGTCATGATCCCAGGGTCTTGGGATCGAGCCCCTCGTTGGGCTCCCTGCTCAGCAGGGAGCCTACTTCTTTCTCTCCCACTCCCCCTGCTTATGTTCTCTTTCTCAAGGTCTCTCTCTCTCTCTTTCAAATAAATAAAATATTAAAAAAGAACAATTAAATACTTTGTTCCAATATATGCTGAATCCACATGCTGATGACTCTTGGTGTATTTTCAGAGTTCAAGCAGTTTTTGAGTTTGCCCTGGGTTTTGCTTTCCTTTGGGATCTCTGGGATTTCCTGTGTGTGTGTGTGTGTGTGTGTGTGTGTGTGTGTGTGTGTGTGTGTGTGTGTCTTGGATTTCCTGTGTGTGTGTGTGTGTGTGTGTGTGTGCGCATCATCATAGTTTGCCAGGGAATTGTAGGTAACTCGATTTCTCTCTGGTCTCTCCTGTGTGGATGGGTAGAGAGCATATTAAGAACCCATACGGCTGTGTATTTTCTATATCTCCCTGCGAAATATCTGGCTAATATGCTGGTTCTTTGCTTGCCGCAGCTTCATGTTTGCTGAGCCACTGTGTTGACACTGGGTTCGCTCACTATTACTGGTAATACCTTTTGGGGCAGACTTTTTCTGTGATTCAGTCCAAATTGTGTCAGCCTCCTCTGCAGGTGCATCTGCTGAATTTCAAGGCTTGCCTTGCCCTTGTATAATTACCATGGCAACCCAGCTGGGATGGAAAGTAGGAGCAACCCCAGGCAAGAATGCCACAGATTCCCACAATTCTTACCTGTGGTTTTATGGATTTTCATGGTATCCACTTCTTCATTTGTTTTATGTTTTTGGTCAATTTCCAGAGCCCTCAAATGCTTGTCCTGACAGTTTTCTGTAGTTGGTGCCTTTTGGGAGGAGCATTTGCTAATCTACTTATTCCATCATCCCTGAACTCTTTCATCCTCCAGCTTGACAGTTCATTAATAAATATCTGAGATGCTGTGTAATGAGTTTTCTGTCTTCTGCGTAGTGAAAAACACCAAATGGTTAATGTTTTTGGTCTAGAGATCAAAATAGCAATTAATTTAGAGATTTAATGTGGAGATTAAAATAAAATTGTGGCCTATTTTTCTACTACTTCCCTCGAATTCCTATGGAACAGTTTTTATTATTTTGGTTAATTAAAGATTTAGTCTGTATTACTTTGTATAATATCATTTGTTAAGTAAATAAAATTTCTGAGGGATTCTGAGCTAACATTTTTTGCATTCTTTATTCTGTTTTTATTTTATCTTGTAAACAGATCTTATATCAGCTAATATTATTAACAAATAAAAATTTATTGAGTGCTTATGTTGTTCTGAGCACTTCACATGTATGAAATCTTTTAGTCCTAACAACTTATTGAGTTATAGATAATATTTCCATTTTATAGATAGGTAACTTAAAGTCACACACCTCATGGTTGAAGAGGTAGTTAATAGTTGAAAGGCACTTTCTGTTAATGAGATTATAAATCAGCTTTGTGTATTAAAATTCTTGAGAATATTCATAGGTTTTCTTAAGATTTGGTTTGAATGGCTTAGTCTGAAATAGCTACTCTTCTTTTTCAGAGAATTCAAATATAAACTGTGATTTGAGTATTTTAATAAACAAATAGAACAAAGTAGTATAAATTCTTGCCTCTAAAGAGAGGAATTGAGGGACGCCTGGGTGGCTCAGTTAAGAGGCTACCTCTAGCTCAGGTTGTGATCCTAAGGTCCTGGAATCGAGTCTCCCATCAGGCTTCTTGCTCTGCGGGGAGCCTGTTTCTCCCTGTGCCTGCCATTCCCCCTGCTTTTGCTTTCACACACACTGTCTCTGATTAAAATAATAATAATAATAATGAGAATAGTTTATTTTTTTAAAGATTTTATTTATTTATTCATGAGAGAAGAGAGAGAGAAGCAGAGGCAGAGGGAGAAGCAAGCTCCCCGGTGAGCGGGGAGCCAGATACGGGACTCGATCCCAGGACCCCAGGATCATGACCTGAGTAGAAGGCAGATGTTTAACTGTCTGAGCCACCCAGGTGCCCAAGAGAGTAATTGTTTTAAAGTTTCAGTTTACTGAACACTCTGGAATACTTTCAAAGTATTAATACTTTCAAAGTCAGTAATTTGAGAGGGACATTTAAAATTTCTCCTTCTTAAAGATAAGCAGGCAGGGAGACTTTTGTTTACATAAAGAGAGTTGTTGAGTTCTTTGTGCTGAAGGAGAGAGGAAATAGGAGTCTTAGGTTTCTCTTGGGTTTTGCTATCTTGGTAATAATGGTTGGGGGCATGGAACTATTGGTGGAAGGTAGTAGGAAAGGTGTTAAGGAGCAGGAGAGCTTTTCTTTCACTTATAATTATTTAAGGATTACAAGCCCTCATACCCGTGATTGGAGCAGTCCATGAAAACACAGCACTAAATCACACCACCACCACTTACCTGGTTAAGTTCCATTCTCTACTTGCACATAGAGTAAGAGAAAACAGCCTTTTGAGCATTGAATTTGCAAACCTAAATATAGAATTAAAATAATGGTCACATGGAGAAATCAATTTTATATTTATTAAAAATAATACAAATATCTTAAATTTGTTTAGTTTTACATACATTATTATGTCCAAATGGTTTTCAAATTTAAGGTACTTCTGAAATCACTGAGGTGCTGTGTGATATATTGTAGTTTGTTATTTGATAAAATTAAATGACTTCTAATGGAGTCCCATCATTTATTACTAATTAGAATGACCAGTCATTAAGGATATGGAGCAATAAATAGTCTTTAGTTGGTGAGTGGTTCTTTTTTCTCCTTGCATTTTTTAAATGAGTATTTTTGACAGATTTTTTTTTTTTTTAAAGATTTTGTTTATTTGTTTGACAGAGATCACAAGTAGGCAGAGAGGCAGGCAGGCGAGAGAGGAGGAAGCAGGCTCCCTGCTGAGCAGAGAGCCTGATGCAGGGCTCGATCCCAGGACCCTGAGATCATGACCTGAGCTGAAGGCAGCAGCTTAACACACTGAGCCACCCAGGCACCCCTTTTTGACAGATTTTTAAAAAATGCTTTATAACAGGCCACATGATATTATAAACATAATATTCCTTTTGAATGTTAATAGACTAAAGATAGATTTTTAATAATAGATGATTTTTTAGAGCAGTTTAGTTTACAGAAAAATTGTGCAGAAAGTATAGTGTTTTCAGGGGCACCTGGGTGGTGTAGTCGGTTAAGCTTCTGATTCATGATTTCAGCTCAGGTCATGATCTCAGGGTCGTGAGATCCAGCCTGGTGGGCTTTGTGCTCAGTGCAGAGTCTGCTTAAGTTTCTCTCTCCCTCTGCCCCTTCTGCCTGTGATCATGCACACATACTCTCTCTCAAATAAAAAAATCTTAAAAAAAAAAAAAAAGGAAAGTACAGTGCTTTTCTATGTCCCCTTTCTCCTTCACACATTCCCCTATTATTATTGACACCTTGCATTGGTGTGGTACATTTGTTACAATTGATGAATCAATAGTGATATTCTTATTTTTAAAAAACAATTATTATCTAGTTCAACAGATGCATAGTTTCTGCAATCCTTACATATAATTGAGATAATATTGTTCATTTATTACTCATTTTTAAAATACTTTCATTAACAACGAAATACAATTCCTCTCCTCTTTTTAGGGTGGAATAATTAATGATGGTTCTGAATTGATTGGTCCTGCTGAAGCTTATTCGGATTCCCTCGTTGATAGCTTTCCTGAATGTAGTACAGAAGGTAGGATATTTTGATTTTTTTTTCATTTCATGGTTTCAATTGCGACTATAAATCATATTTGAATTGCAAAAGAATAGATGGCTATAGGAATTTGAGAGTATTTCACCAATTCTAAGATACTTTGTTTTTTGCATTTAGTATCACTGATATGCACTGCTATGCATGATATTGGGTTGATGATATCTTACATTTAATTGACAGCTTTTTTCTTTCGTAGTGATATTAAAATAATGATTTATCCTATAATCAGTGGCATATTAGATTTGATGAAATGTGGTATAATGAATGTTCAGAAGTTGTATTGTCTAGTGTTAAGAATATTTTGCTAGGGGGACCTGGGTGACTCGTGGGTTAAGCCTCTGCCTTTGGCTCAGGTCATGATCTCAGGGTCCTGAGATCAAGCCCCGCATCTGGCTCTTGACTCAGCAGGGAGCCTGCCTACCCCCTTTCTCTGCCTGCCTCTCTGCCTACTTGTGATCTCTCTCTCTCTGTGTCAAATAAATAAAATCTTAAAAAAAAAAAAGAATATTTTGCTAAAGTTTATTTAGCAGCATCCGACTTTTAGACAATTAATTTTAAGACTGGCTTTAAAAGTTTAGTCATGGGGCGCCTGGGTGGCTCAGTGGGTTAAGCCTCTGCCTTTGGCTCAGATCATGATTCCAGGGTTCTGGGATCGAGCCTGCTCCCCACTCTCTCTCTGCCTGCCTCTCTGCCTACTTGTGATCTCTGTCTGTCGAATAAATAAATAAAATCTTAAAAAAAAAAAAAAAATAAAAGTTTAGTCATGTTCCTAGAAAGAACAAACCTCGGGCAGTTTTAGTGTTTTTAGTATGTTTTTGTAATAACATGAGTTTAAACAAAGCAGTTTTTGAAATTTTAATCACTTTAATTCAAGAACGCTTCATCTCTTGTTTTATTGCTTTGTTAAGCCATCCTTGGATTTTCATGGAGATTTAAAATCTATACATTTTGGTCTTTAAATTTCCTTAGCTAGTTTTATTCCAGGGAGGATTTTGGAATTAAGAAAGAGATTTGGAGACATAGAGGGAGAGTATTTAATATAGGTAATTAGATTTGTTTGAGGAGGCTTGGGTTTGTTTTTATATAAAAGTAAAATCATAGACTACATATTTCGTGATTTCTTTAATGGATAACAGTTTATGGTAGAGGAGGATGCTGAATATGGGAGGTAGCCATAATCTCATTTAAGTGATGTGTTTGTAGGGATATGTACTGATGTCATAGATCAACAGACACATTGATACGGATTTATTGCAGTAACTTCCCATCTTAATTTGATAGGAGTAGCAAGTTCCCATTCATTGTGTAGGTTGGAGCATTTAAAATTTGGTTCTCAGGTGTCTTGTTAGTGTAGTAGGTAGCATGTCAGTCTCATAAAATTTGTTTTTCTTTTGTTGCCACCACTTGAGAAATGATTAGCTCTTATTGTGTTTCATGGTGGCTCCATGAAACTTAAAAACGAAGTCCATTCATTTATACCTAGTGTTTTGTGTAATGTACAGGGATCGCAGGCCCAGGGATTTCCATTAGGTCCTCAATATCTTTGACTCTATACTGAATCAGCTAAGGTCATAGGAAAACACTGCTGACAGTAATTTTCCTCTATAGTCCAAATACCTGTTCTTTATAACCTGTTTTGGTCTTCAGGTCCTTGCCAGGCTTTGAAAAATCTCGTCCCTACTTGGGGTCCCAGGGGGATTCTGTTGTTAGAGCTGGTTTCCTTGGTAGGTAACTTTATCTGGGATAACCTGATCTGGCTGTTGCCCCAGAGATACTCTTTTCCTGAGAAAGAGGGAGAGGGTATCTTCTGCCTGTAGATGTGCTGATTTGGTGACATCCAGTTGTGGACAAATAGATTCGTAGGAAAGTGTTCAGTGAGGAGTACAGTTCTTGGAAATTGTAGAATGTTTTTTAGTTTCTCTCTTTTTGTGTTTTGTTACAGGAATCAAAGGTTGCATGATTTGGGGATGGCTATATTCTTTTGATTTCTATAATAAGCCTTTTTTATAGTAGGTGTGAGTCAGCTATGGTGGGAGATGTGTGTTTTAGGAACCTATTTTAGTGTAAGGTCATCAGGAATGGGATGATACAGAGGTTTTTTATGCTTTGTTATCATCTGGAAGAGAAGGGGAGGAGCATTATTATAAGGAATGTGTTTTCTTGGGGTGGTGTTCTAAAATATGGGAAGCAGTTCAGGGTTAAAATGTGACTGTGGTAAAACGTGGTTAAAAAAGATATTACCTAAAGCTAGGATGAGTTTGTAATTTATTGTTCAAAGGGGACACACACTTCTGAGACGTAAAGAGGATGCTTTAATAAGTACAGTGAGACCACATGCATACACCAGGACCACCTCTGGCACACTGGGATGGATGGCGTGGGCCGCCCTACCTAAAGCAGTTGTTTCCGGATTTGCCTTTGAAGTTTTGAAAAGATGGGTTTTCCTTGGAAGGGTTTATCTTTTAGGAATATGCTTTTATGAGAGAGACTGGGGGCAAACTGGAAAAGGCTTACACTACCGAAAAGTAATGCTGGCATTTTATCCTTTCCGTGCTTAGTTCGGTTCTCCTGCTGTATTACCATCTCTGAAACCTGCTGTGATCCATGAGTGCAAAACGTGGACCTAGAAAGGCTGTTAATGCTTATGTTTTTTACCCTCTCCCTTTAAAAACCTTTATGCCTGACTAATCAATCCTGCTGAAAGACACCTTGTTGACAAATACAGATCAGAGTGTCAGACAGCTTGCAAATTCATTATTTTATGAGAGGGGAAATGACTTTTAAATATCATGAGATTGTCTGGCATACTGGGTAAGTGGAGATATACTTTCCTACCAAAAGGTCTGCAAACCCCCAGACAACCAAGGGAGAAGGTCTCTCCTAGCAAGAGCGGAAAGCTGGCAGCTGGCCAAGCCTCACAGGTAATGCAGGGAAATGGAGGGTTGTAGAGGGATGTGGTGGCAAGTGCTTGTGGTTTGGATTTAGAACCAAAATGTGAGGAGGTGATTCACTTCATAACAACTCCTCTGAGTGTAGTATTTTAAATGGTGTTTCAAAGGTGTATTCATTTTTCATACTTGTGATTTAGTCTGCCAGTGGAATGTGCCAGAGGGGCAAATCTTAATATATAGTCTGTGTTTCAGTGTCCTTCAGTAGAGTTAGAATGACATGGCAAGTATATCTCCTCGCAGAGAACAGATGTAGAGGCTAAGTGATCATTATTTTTATTAGTACCGTAAAAAGGCAATCAACAGGTCTTAATTTACCTTGAAGGAAAGTTTTCTGAGGGAAACATAAGGAGCTGGATTAATGTTTTTTTATTTTTTAAACTATCATTATTTGATAGTAATGGGATAGAGGAAACCCCTTTAAGGTTTCATAAAACCAGTAATTTGGTAATTAACTGGTAAATATATTTTATCTAACATGAAATTGAAAATTACAAAATTATTCAGTAGGTTTTAGATAAAAAGTTAATATTCTTTTACGTTTTTAAAATGAAATATTGGTCACTCTTTATCTCCTTTGTCCAGAGAAATTAAACTATATATATTTTTAAAGATGAAAGAAGATTGACTTGATTGCTAACATCTTATTTCCTTTTTAAACTTGCATCTTTTCATTTGGTTAAACTTAGCTATGAAGTTACTGTGACATTTGTGGAAATCTGGCCAAAATGGTGCATTGGAATTGAGCTTCTTGACATGTTTCTCTTATCTGTTGGCCTGTTTGAAGGATGTAGGTTGCTTTACTGCCATGCTGGCCTTGATATTGGAGCCTTTGATGTTGGTAGACTCTCATCTGGTAACCTTTGTCATTTCCTCTCCCTAATAGGTTACTTTGCAATTATGGGAGGGACATTTTCTAGGTGTGTGCACCAAACAAGAGAAAATAATTAGGTGATCATAACCACAAATACAAATTGAGAGATCAACTTCTTATGTGTAGATCTTAAGAGTGAATGTTCTTAAATGTCTCCTGGGGTAGCTGGGGCTGGGTCTTCTTCTTCCTCTTTTTGTTTTTTTTGGTAGTAAATTGTGGGTTAAGAGCTCCCTGGGGTTCAAATGTAGCAATTGTAGACATAAGAAAGTATCTTTTTTTTTTTTTTTTAAAGATTTTATGTATTTATTTATTTGTCAGAGAGAGAGCAGGCAGAGGCAGATAGAGAAGCAGGCTCCCTGCCGAGGAAGGAACCCCACATGGGACTCCATCCCAGGATCCCGGGATCATGACCCGAGCTGAAGGCAGCAGCTTAACCAACTGAGCCACCCAGGCGTCCCCATAAGAAAGTATCTATTAAGCTGTCTTGAGTTAGCCGTTTTAGAGTAAATGAGGTGTACATTGCTGGTCTGTATAAGTGATCTCTGAAATCACTTTCAGTTCAAGATTTGTGTTTTTATTTGATGGCGGGGTGATAATTCTTTCCATTAAAGCATGAAGATTAAACTGTATTAAACTGAATAATGTTGATTACTTTTAGTAAAAGGCGAAAGATTTATGCGATTTGAAGAGAAACCAGAGCATAGGTGTTGTTGATTACTTTTAAACTGTTAGGGGAGACTAATTAAAAGGGTATATAGTTATTTAAGTTTGAAGAAAATCTTCTGTGTTAATGTACCATTTTATTATTATTATATTTTTCTTTTTATTATTTGTGTTATTTTCATTTAGTTGATTTAAAGTCGATGCTTTGAGGCAGCATCATTTTAAAAAGGAATATTCTTCAGTTGATTGGCTACTTAATAGCCTAAATCTATTTTTTAGGCGGACTTCAAGTCTGTGCACTACATAGAAGTGGTGTAAGATGACAAAATACAGAAAGCCTAATTAAAAGTAATTTGAAGTAGAATTTAGTGCAAACATCCACTAGGTGGTGCCATGAGAACTCTAAATCTTGTTATGGGAATGATTGTAGGCCCTCCTGTATTATGAGAATATTCACTTTGAAGTTCCTTTTGCTCTTCAAGTGCTTTTCTACT